GCATACGAACACATGTTTCTGTGCTACAGTGGCTAAATGTCTGGGCTCAGATTACTTGACGTATCTTCACAAAAGGATATCTTGTATTTCAGACGGAAGGGTTATCAGTCCTTACCTCTTCCTGATATTTACATTTGTCTCCATAAATGTACTTCCGACATACGTACAGAGTGGAGACAGGGCGATAAGAACGAGGAGTGTTCGTCAAAGTTCCTCACACAACTTTTTTTTCCAGTGCGAGACAATTGTCACGCTGTTCTTCCAACCATGAACCGACGGAAGTTCGAAAATGTGCCAAATTTTCAAGTACAGGTAGGCCCCGATTTACGCCGGAGTTACGTTCCGCCTCCTCAGGGTCGTTAGCAGCGTAAATCGAGTTAGAATTATAATGTACTAGCAGACGAGGAGAATGCACCTGACGCCTAGGTACCTACTTCCTGCGCTGTTTTCTCTTCTTATATTTTCTCTTTTCATTATTATTTTAAAACGGCGTTAATGTGAAAACGGCGTAAAATGAGGCGTCGTAAAGCGAGGCCTACCTGTATTTGGAAATTTCGGTAAAAAAAATTACAATTACGTGCATAAATAAGTTGAGATTAAATTCCGGAATGCTTACTATTTCCAACTCAGAATCTTGAAACGTAAAAAATTAAAACGTACAAATCGTTGTTTTGTGTGTAAGTAAAACTTCGTCTGTCATCCTTCGGAAATAACACAGACTGAGAAGAATTCTTAGGGGAAGGAGGCTGTGGGCGGGAGATGAAACCGGATTCGTCTCCATTTAGTGGGTGACAACTGACAAAAGTTTAACATTTCGGGTTTCAGGCCATCCCGAATGGTTGTCGTAACAGCTGTCTGTGTACGATGTGGTCCTGTGGCAGTGGGGTTCAACTTCCCTGCCCCACTACGTCAGAGGATGCGAGTAAAATGACCCACGACATCTGCGGGTAACCGAACCTGCCAGCCTAATTTATTTACGTCTGTGAGAGACGCCGTGATAAATTGGAAGGAAAAGAAATTGCGAAAATAAAAACGAAAAGAGAAACTGGAAATATAACTGGAGCAAATTTGGAAAAGAACACTCCCATCACGACAGACGTGTTTACGTTCTGAATTACATTCGGCAGTCGTCATGGAAACGAGCGTTTACGCGTCACGCCCATAAAGCCGTCTTGACATACGAAATTCTTTATAAATCGAGCGAAAATCGAACATATTAGCGCTGTCCCAGGAGCGTGGACAAAATGTTCAATGGTGGTTACTTAGTTGGTATTTAAATTACGCTAACTTTGTTATGTAAATCAGTAAGATTCGTACAAATTATGCGTGCATAACTTCTTCAGGGGGACACAGATTTATATTCAAGGCAAGTTTGTATGGAGTGGATACTTAAAAATACTATAAAAATACGCAAACAAACACAGCATTCCCTTAAGTAATGCGGGATGTGTAACCAAATTAAAGCTAATAAAATTTCGTATGAATAGAAGTTGAGTTTGTGACGGTTCAATATCTACGAAAAGAATCAAGAGTTAATACAATCAGAAGTCTACTTAGTCATCTAAGTTGCCTTTAAATTAACCACGTTTGGCCAAAAATCGTAACAGCCGGACGAAATTAGCGCTGGTTTTCGACCAAAATCTCTCAGGAGCTGTAACTTGCGAACAGACGGACGGACACGACGCAAACAACACATCATGACACAATATAAAACGCTGAATTCGTTGAATATTACGGTTGGTACCATAAAATTCCCTACAACGCGTAAGTGACAGCCCATGTTACCAACCTGGACACGTACTGTCGATTTTAACAGCGGAACTAATACGAAATACCCACGGCGTATCAATTCCGACGTTTCTGCTCACCTGCTGCTTCTACACTTTCAATTCGCGAATGATAGATTTCGGTGTTCGTAATGGCGTGACGCAGGCATCGCGGGCGAACAAGGACCTCCGTTATAAAATGCAATCAAAATCGGTCCAACGGTTCTGGAGTTGAGATATGACACAGCATGAAATCCTATTTTATAGCAGAAAACGTAAAATATTCTTGTCTGGCGCGTTCGCAATGAAAATTTACAAAAAATTGTGCCCATTAGCTCTGCCTGGAGGAAGGACACACACGGGGAAACTTATTGGTTCAGTTTCGAAAGTTCTCGTCGCAAATGCGTCATCAGGGGATGTCAGCAACTACTCAAATATTAGTTGCAACACTTGATAACAAAGACGACAATAAATATTGAACTTCGAAATTTGTAATTCACGGTAGTGACTTCTTTAAAAACGTCAATTCGCTCGTACAAAGCGAGGAAAATCCAGCCACGTGTTCGCCAAGCCACAATCTGAACGCGACGCCTTCCGAAAGCAAGTCTATGAAAGGGCGAAGTTGCGACTGCACTGACCTGACGTCCTCGCTGGCCGGCAGCCACTGGGAACGCTCCTCGAGTCTGGCCAGCGTCGCGTTCCCTTCACGGCGAAGACGCTGAAGCTCGGGGTCAGTGAGGGCCCGGGTCAACGCCCTGTGCTGATGATGAAGCTGACGCCGCGTGACCTGTCTCTGTCCCTCCGTCGACCTCAGCTCAGACATTACGGACACCAGGCGTCGACCGCACGCGTGGCACTGCCCAAGGAACGGCTCCACTTCCTGAAGACCACAGAGGTCAGGTTAGGTTCTGCGATGCGTTTCCAACGCCTACGTGAAACCGCAGGTGACCACTTACCTTCATCCGCTGTCGATAAACACGGTGATCTTTTGGCAGCTGTGCCGTGCCACCGTCTTTATGTAGCAAATGCAACAAATGGCTTAAGAATCGATGCCATTCAACTGACCTTGTAAAACTCAACCCACTCCACTTGATCGTGGGTCGAACGTCCCCCACAATTCACCGGGGTTTGATCTTCTGAGATGTACTGACACAAGTCCCTCTCATCAGTCACGACGTGGACCTGAAAGGACACAGAACCACCCGATAAGCGCATCGCACGTTCCTGATAAAACGTCCTTGTCAGGGATCTGATGGTTTCCCACCAGAACCTTACCGGAAATGCCCGAAGTCCGTCTAAACTCTGTCCCAGGCAAAGCTGGAGGAAACAATTACGACTGAAACCTAACCTAACCCAACCTAACGTAACCTAACCCAACCTAACTTAATCTAACAGCGAGCGCTCGACACGTCCCTCAGTAAAAACTAATCGCTGTTAGGTTAAGTTCCAGTAATATCTGGGCTTACGATGTCTAGTTTTGCCTAGGACAAACTACTTTAGACGGTGACATCAGAACCCTGGTGATGTGGACAGAAACGGTGGTCTCCTTGTGTTCCTTGTGTGACGCGGCTGTTTGCCCAAGAAGATTCTATCGAGGGTAGTCTCCGCGGAAGCCTCAGATCATAGAGTTCAGACGGATTTCTGGTAACGTATACATCATCATTCAATTTCTCCAAGTATGGTCGTTCGTGTACAATTATTCTCAAAACTTAGTCCCCATGTATGCGCGAAAGGTTTTGCCTGCCTTGATATCAGTACAATTATTCTCAAAACTTAGTCCCCACGTATGCGCAAAAGTTTTTGCCTGCCTTGATATCATTCAAATGAACACCAGTTCACACCTACGAATAGCCATTGTTCCTGGGAACTACTTTTCCGGGCGTAGTGTGAGTGGCCCGGCCCCGTTTATAACCTTGTGTCTATGGGAAATTGACTTTCGAGTTCGAGAAGAACGTCTTTGTGAACGAGGCTACCTACAAAATCATATGACAAATGCCAAATTTCGAAACACCTTACCATCGCTTACTAAAGAAAAAGGTCCACGTACCTTGAATCTGCTGTTCTCCAGTACGTCATGATTCAGCTGCCATCTGTCGCTGGTTGAAGGCGGTCGCCATAGCAACACGTTGCCGATGTTCATCTGTGCCTGTTTAAGAAGGTAATAAGCATAGTCAGAGCATAAATGGAACGAGACTACTTCGTTTTAACACCAAACAAGACGACACATCGCGGTAACTTACTGCCACAAGCGATAGAGCCTTATCCAAGAGGTCCAGCGCTGATCCTTCGGACTCTGCACAGAGAATCAACACGGTGAAACCATCCTTCAATTTCTCCGGTCTGAAAAGGAGAATTACTTTGCAGCCAATTCAAAATTCGTCTTTATCTCATTCCATTTACAATTTGTCACCTACGTGGACACTTATCATGGGGTTCAAAACAAAAGGCCGATCTGAAAAGGAGAATTACTTTGCAGCCAATTCAAAACTCGTCTTTATCTCATTCCATTTACAATCTGTCACCTACGTGGACACTTATCAGGGAGTTCAAAACAAAAGTGTTTCAATAAAATCTTCTCGGGCACTCAGCCGCGTTAACCGACGTTTCGGGAACCAACTCTGTCCCCATCATCAGGGTACTGCTGTCGCCTGAGTAATGCGTGGTATAAAATTTAAAAATGTAACGTTCACTGAGTTGTCATGATGATTAATAGACCATGTTATTTGTGGAATACAAAAAAAAGATTCTTCTGCACTTCGCCAGTTCCATTATTCGAATATCAGGGCAAGGCGACGTTCCTTTCAGAACCACTGACCCAAAACTGCAGCATGAAAAATCTTGATTACCGAGTATGTCGGAGCGAGGTGACAAGACGATGGTGAAGACTGTGGAGTTCACAGGTCCAGCGCCATCCACACTTCATCTGAGCCAGTCCTCCCGCACTTGGAGGAAAGAGAAGTGGTCGCGACTCGGTCCTTCGGTTGCCCTACAGTCGCTGATTAAACGAGAATTACCACATTCTAAAAGAACGAGTTTCACCCTCAGACAAAGGAACACGTTCAGTCACATGGTTCTATATGGGAAACAGAAAGACGTTTGGCATTCCCCTATTTGAATCTCCACGTGAATATTCCTGTCTGTTACTGTCCGTCCCAAATATCTGAAGCTTCGGGTCACGTATCTTCTAACTTCAAATTACGATTCTGACCTGCAATCTTCTTCATAGCCTCCAAGAGATCTGTGTCTTTCTTCAAGACTTTATATTCACCCAGTAAATTAATATCATTAATACAGAGCTGTAGTAGAATGAGCCACTTCATTCCAATCCCAATTTGGAAAGCGATGTCTATGAAGCATCGTCTGTCCATACCTTTCTCAATAGGGAAAACATCAAACAAATATTTACCCATAATTAGAACTTACCTTTAAACCCATTTCACAAGAATTATTCGTAACACAAACTGAGTCATAGACTTTAGCGAATGCACAAGCAGCTGATGTTCTGTTTCTCATTGCAGGTCACCCCACCCCTTAAAGTATTCCATCTGGCGAATGCAAAATATGTGTTGAAATCCACACTGATGAGCGCCAACATTTTTCCAACTGCATATGGACGTAACCTTAAAAGAAGATTGTTGGATAAAACTATGTATGTACGTAATTCAATGAGATCCCTTCACAATTACTACAGTCAGTTCCCGTATATCGCCATTTGTAAAAATAGTTACATTTCATCCACTTCTGTAGCAAATTCATTCAATCCCAACAGAAATAATAAGTAGGCTTTGAGGTTCTCTTACGAAGATGGCGGTCCTCTGGGTTGCAGCGCGGTGCAATCTGGTAGAAGTTCATCAACGTTTTTGACATCACTGGTGCTCTGGTAGAAGTTCATCAACGTTTCTGACATCACTGGTGCCAAATCGCCCTGATGATGGAGGCAACAAAGATCTCTGAAACGTTGGTGTTAATAATTTTGTAGGCCTCAGTGGCAATATTTTACCCACAGAGTCTGTTCCTCCGGAGTCCTGGTATCGATGAGCTTCCGGCTGACGTGACGCACCCGCGACACAAACATACTATTGCTTTTCGTATCCATTCTTCGGGACATAAAACGAAAGTCCGAGTTATAGGAGAGAAGGTAGTATCTTTCTAACGCATGTTACATACAATGAATGTTTGATAATACGCGAATGTCGACCTATAATAAGAGCATTTACCTTGGCAATGATGCGTAGTATAACAGCACAGAAGCGATCTGTTTGCTATCGAGAGAAGCCTTCAAAACTGTAGCAGCATCCACTACCACCAATGGACGTTCCTTTAGGTCAGAGGTTCCTGAAAGCAAACAAACGTTTAACCAAACGCTACAAAAAGTTGGATATTAAAGTTAATATCTGTCGAAATAAAAGCCCACTATCAAACCCTTTTTTTCTATGCATGTTCACTAAAATTTACCAGCTTCACATCCCCGTATCAAACTGAGAGAGAGAGAGAGAGAGGACGCAGAAAAACTCCGAGCTCCAGCTACGTCACAGTATGAGAGAAGGGGAAGATGGCAAAGAGTCTGTCGGTGGTGGGTGGCATTTTGATGCACTGACTTTTGCACCGCAGTGTATTTTATGAAGCAAAGGGTGTCCAAAGCACAGGCAAACGCCTTGACTATCGCGGGCTACTTCTAGAGCCTAAACGTAATAGTTTCACGTCGGAAGGACGGAATTATCTCTCTGCATGTGCTGTTTCTTCGCTGGCTTCCCCTCCCTCCCTCATCCGGGCTCGGATATTCCGGCCCCTTTACCCGGAGAGGTTAATTTTCTGGCCCTCTACAGCTTGTGCACGGAACTACAGTCTTCGTCATCTGTGCGCGTTTCAGACACCGGGGTCTACCTGGGTGCCCTGCCACCATCCGTACTTCACCGTGAACTTCGTCCTTTCTTCGTTGGCAACAGAAAACTTAGGACGAAATTCTTGAGCCGGGCATTCGAAGAAAATGGTTATTGCAGTTACCGTTCTCATTACATCCATGATTGCCTGTCTTTTAATTCCTTCATTATGGCAAAGTTCCTTTCATAATCCAAATGAGCTTAGCTTTCTGCTCACCTCATGAATTTCAATCTTTCCCTGATTCTGTTTCCAGCAGCGACACAACGCGTCTCCATTACAAATATCAATCGGTCAATTTTCACCACGGAAATAAACGCTGATTACTCTGCGAGACAAACAGAGCCCATAAACATTCCGTGGGCAAAACACAAGAGTCACTGAACATTTAAGAACGTGGTACAGATACTTACCACTGTTCTAAGTGTTAAGAGATTGTTCTAGACGTTTTTCCTTCGATAATAAATAGACCTATATTTGGACCAGAAAGGTCGATTGGTTTCTATCGATATATTTCGTATCTGATAATACGAACACATTTACAAACGCCAGTAAGTGATGTGCATCCTTCAGTAACAGGCAGATTTATTAAGAACTTTGGTATATTTCTCTATTAAAATTTAACACAATTCCATGCCGCAATGTAGCCACTGTTTTGAAGCACACGGTGGGTCTCCTGCTTTAAAGACGTGTCTGTGTCAGAGGTTAAGATAAAACAGGACAAGCAGCACTCTTCATTATTCGCTGAGAGGCGATCATGCACTTCTCCTGTTAGAAATCTGCTTCCCACAAGTTCCTGACCTTGCTCCACTTGTACAGGCTATCTGCGATACAAGAACAAATAAATACAAGATGCCTGCTGCTGGACAAACGCGCTGTTTCCACAAACAGCGACGGTATTACAGCGCAGTGTTTATAAAGATCAGTCGAATTATGACGTAAAACGTCACGTATTAGCATCAGGAAACATGGCGACTTCATATGTGGACGCGACATAGTCCAGAATACACACAGGTGCATGAGTTCGAGGACGGGCGAACTCGCAAAAGGCTTCCGCATACAGACAATGGCGCTGGTAAGGTTATTATGAAAGGAATGGTCATATGGGATCATACGTACATGGCCATTAACACTCCACATGAAGGTCAGATTCAGGTGCTAACAACTGAATCGATCGGTTACTGGGACCGTGGGATCGAAACCCGCTCGGGGCATGGCTGTCTGTCTTCGTCGTCCTGTTCTGTCCTGTTCGTAATCACTCTTGAAGTTTTTAATAAAGTTCCGGTGTATACTAACTAATCGTAGACGAGGAAAAAATATTTAAAATAAGAAAAATATAAAAGAGAGAGAAATTAAAGTGGTTTAGAGTTGTCTAAAAAGTTGTGCTTCGTATTCGGGACAACCTGGGTTCAAATCTTGGTCGGTGGCCAGGCACTCTCGAATGATGTTCTACGTGGTTTTTTAGAGCCTCGTGATATAAGGCCAAGACCACTTCCTTCCATGTCCTTTATAACTTCAATGAAACAAAGAAAAAACCCATCTCATTGATATCTGATTGGGAAATGAAACGGAAGTTATAATATTAAAATGCATCTTGCGCGTGGAATGGGTTCGTCTGGTTCAGGGTAGGTGCCTGTCTGAGGAGGAACACTGCTCCACGACCTGGCATGCAGTTACTTCGTCAGACAGGGTTAGAAGAACTTCCCCAGAAAGCTGGCCCTATCTTTTTAAATCGCACAGTTGGCACTACCCCAGCGCCTCAACGGCCATAACTCGACACGTTTTTTTTTTTCTTTACGGGTATGTCTTCGCAGTACCCATTTTAATAGTATCACGATGATTGCTGTCTGTGGTTTAATAAAACTAACTCCATGGGAGACATTCTTTATTGAGAGGCGAATAGTACGATTAATAAAAGATCCATTTTAACATTATTTTTTTTCATTTAGGTTACGGTACCTACAGTGAGAGACCTTCCTTTCAATTTTTCAACTAAAATCCTGCATGCGTGCTATATGTCTGCCATCGTATCTTGTTCCACTACCAACATCACAGAGCCCATAAAAGACTAGCCGGGAGACTATTATCTTCTAAATAAGTAGACCTACTCTCTTCCGTGGAGTCGAGTTTTGTCACTGAAGTAAAAGCCATGAACACGCGTCCTTTGTATTAAAAAGTTTTAACGCCTGGTTAAAAGATTTCTATTTTGCAGTGTTTCACACAGAATGCAACGCAGTTTGTGCCTTGTCTGTTTGTTACATCTTCTGTCGAAGTGATAATTGACTATAAGTATCTTAAAACAGCCCAGACACTTCCCGAGATATCCTTTAGCATAAACTGACTACGCTCCGCCCATATTCGTCGCCATAGCTGCAACCTGCAACACACGAGTGCATTACCACAGACTGTGTTCGAGAGCACGAGGAAACCTGTATAAGAAGACCGAGGGAGATGTCGGATTTCTTAGAATCAATTTATCACGAAAATGTGAAAGAGAAGTATATCAAGGCGATACAGTTGCTTCACGTTTCACGTCAGAGGACGACACATCTGAGCGGTGGACTGACGGGCAGCGTGCGACAACACGTGACGCAGCCGCCATGATGCTGGATTCCATGGAAACGGTACTTGGCCTCCACTCACAGATGAAAGTTTTTATGGCTTCCAACTGCTGCAAGCTTTCTCGTTTTATTTCAGAACACAACATTATGCGAAAAGTTGTGGATAGTCGAATGGTAGAGTGGACTCTGAAACGTCATCGAGGTTATACCATCCGAGCATATGCCCAGAGGGACCAAGCAACTAGCTACCTAACTAACCAAATCAATTAGACAATTCTCCATCCTACGCCAGAGGAATCCAAACCACGGTCTAGAACCCTACTTCCCTGAAATGCAGTTCATATTATTCTACCATTTATAACCAGTTTCTCCAAGTGGTTTCCTCCTTCCAGGCCCTCCAAACAAAATTCTGTACGCGTTCCTCATCTCACGTGGCGTCCGCCCACATACTCCTCCTTGATTTCAACCACCGTAATAATATCTGGCAAAGAATACGAACTATAGATTTTCTCATTACGCAAACCTCCCCACGCTCCTGTCGCTTCATCCCACTTATATTCAAATATTCTCCTTAGCACCCTGTTCTCAAACACCCCCAATCAGTATTCTTCTCTTAAAAGTTAAAATTACAGTTGTACAGCACATTTTAACCTTTCCGTTCCTACAGACGGGAAAACACGGTACCAAGCATCCCGCTTATTTAGATTCGTCTTTATTTGTTAGGAATCGCAATTTTAATTCCTTGCCATCTTTCACAAGTATTGAATTTTTCAACCTGAATGACTAGTAGTCAATCAAAAAGGTCTTCGCTCCAAGACGACCGTGCAACAGCGAAATACGTGCGTATGCCTACAACGAAAGTCTCTGCTCTGCAATAATGAATATGAACATTGGTTTTGCGTGATTATACACTGTGTTTTGAATTCAGTTCAAAAATTCATCAATGCCAATTTTAACAAAACATTAAGAAATTATGATGGCACATCAACACCAAACTCCGTAAGAAATGAACGTACCAGGCAAGTGGATTCCAGACATAAGCAGCTTCTCGGGCAGCTCCACGATTCTCTTAGGAGATGTAACCAGCTCCGGTCTGTTCATTATCACCACATCTGCAAAGAAAAACAATTCAATATACTTTCTGGCCCATATTATGGATTCCAGTTATTACTCGGTGACTCTCATGCCAGAATTATAATTGTACTGGCTGGGTTTTTCGGTGCAATGAACTGTACACTACGATGTCAATGTTGGAGTTCTGGGCTCAAATGCCTTGTGGATTTTAAGGCAGATACCACCACTTCGGAGAAAAAGGCTTTCACCATCGTAAACCCACAACATCGGAATCTACCTGCGAATCCCGACGGCGTCACAACATAAAAATCTTCACCTCAATCTTATGCAATCTCAACAGCACATGAAGAACTCCCTGCTACTATTTAATCTAACACCACAGAGCAGAGTTATTTTGGGAAACTGAAAGTCACTCGCGTGGCCGAGGAATTGTCGTATTTTTCTCCATCCTCCAGTTCTCTCCCCTCGTTCGTCCTAGCATTCACGTCAGCATTTTGTTCCAAAATGTCCTCAAACTATATTCTCTGTTTTCGGGTGCATTAAGGCTAGCACAGTGTAAGAGGTATTTACGACACAGAATATGATAGATGGCGCCAAAGAATTTACGAAAGGAAAACATGTCAGTGCAGTCATACAGCAAAGATATTCCTGTGTCACAGAAAATTTGTTGATGGTTCCGTCACAGTCAACTACAGGCTTCTTTCTGTTCTGAAGAAACCACCCGATGCACGAAACACGACGGCTTTTTCTGAAGGCGAATGCCCAGGGAATATCAGTCAGATAGACAACTTTAAATAGGTCATGAAGTGTGTTGATCACGATAGCTAAAATTTTTTTTAATTCTGACGACAGGTCCATATGAACAGGATTCTTCCATCCTTTTCTCGGACTGGGACCTGATCCAGAAGTGGTTTGCCATTGCCTTCTTCTGTGTGTGAATGGAGTAATTGTTGGGATGCCACGGAGGAAAACTCCGTGTTGCCTAGACCACGGCCTTGCACAACACAAGTTATAAATTCGAACCCGAGACCCCAGGATTACAAGGCCAGCGTTCTAACCGCTAGACCACCGTGGAGGTAAGAGGAAGTATAGAATGTTAATTCAGTTATCAGCATTATTGACAATAACTATACTGTATATTCGAATGTCGTAAGTGCGTGAGAATTCATTACTGAAAACGCAGACTGCCTTGTTTACATTTCCCTTAATGTGTGCCTTGACTTTGGGGAGCCCGTGATTGGTATGAAAGGGGCAATCAGGAGCAAAATCCTCCGAGTACAATCGCACACATCACTTCCTAATCAGATGCAAAATGATCCTGGTAATAGAAGGCAGCTGAATGTAAAGTGCCCTCATACAAGGGGAGAACTGACAGAGGGTAGAATAATAGAGCAGCAGCTGCGGACAAAATTCACGTTGATTCTGACAGTTTCAGGACAGACCAGCATCGGGCTGTTGTATATAGTTACCTACTCTTCAGCACGTCAAGTACTCTCGCTCCACAGTTCGCTCAATTTTAAGGGTAGCTCAGGGGGCGGCGAGTCATATTTGTGGTTTTACATTTCATAATCCCCTTCTGTTTACATTGCCTCTCTGCACTCAAGCACAGACAGCATTACGGCGGTAACCTCTTAAACTAATTTAAATCTACGTCAACTGCAGCCGTGGAGTTCACTGGAAGAAACTCAATTGACAGGCCTTGGGACGCATTCGAGACGGAAAGGGTCCCGATTGTTCCCACAGGTGGCCTGCATCCTGCTGCCTGGAATAACGACGTTGGTTGGTTTATTCATGTGAACTTTCTTTCAAGCCCCACCAACCCTTGAAATCAAGGATGTATGATACTTCGAAGCACTTTAAAAATAAAGTTGCTTAAGTGACGTCTTTGAAATTAAATTGAGCGTGAACTAAAAATAAACTAGCAGTGAAACCAGAATGATCAACACCACGAGTACCAACGTACGGTCCAGAAATGTTCCCACTTCCATATCAATGTTGTGAACGATACCGAACCGATCGAAGCGCCGTGGCCTGTTAGGAAGAACCTGAAACAACGTCTATGCTGGTAACGAAGCACGACGTTAAGCTACCTGACCACGCCTTGCTGTGGTCTCCAGGCCAATGTGGACCAACCAGAGGTTAGCATAACCAGATGTTTGGTGGGAACAAGGTTCGTTCGAACCAACTTCAAAATAAATCATTAAATATTAACGCAGTACTTTCACTTGCGAAGTTAATTATTACAATACATACAGACAGAAGATTGTAATAAGAATCTTTATTTACAATCTTCCAATGATGACATCTAACACAAGGATTTTTAAAAATAATAATTCTTGAGAAAGCAAAGTGTTGCACGTTCTCATCATAAAAATCTAACACGGAACGTCGTCTTAAAACCTTTAACAGAACAAACTTGAGCAAGGCACATACGCAGAGAACACTCCCTTCTTAAATAAGTGACCACTTTTTTAAGACCGGCCTCGAGCTTAAACTTTTCAAAGCGAAGTGAAATGTTTGAAACTCAAACGGGTACTCAGACGGTAGGCTTTTAGGTTAGCGGTGTTCCGGGTATAAATAAAGTTTAACTTTTACCCACATTCTGTTTAGATTCTGGCTTCGATCATATTTTTCCTTGAACGTTTAACCCAAAGTCTTGTTCAATCACACTTTAAAGTCATGTAATTATACACAGTCCAGTGAAACGTGGTATCTTGGTAGCCTATATCCGGAGAGAAAACTTTGGAGTGGAAGAATCTTTCAAGACTGAAATGTGGGGAAAACGAACTCTGTTTCAGAAATGACAGTGGGCTCGCGAATATTTTTAAACACAGCAAACAAATTAGCTGTTACAAGGGAAAAATATTATTTTTCTAACAAGTCCAAATTGTTTTGAAAACATTAATAAACGTCATCTGTGAGGACTTCCCGAAAGCTGTTCGGGACATACACCATTTTATCACGCACAGACGAAGTAGGATACAATTCTTAAGGTTTTTGTCGTCAATTATCGCAGTCCGTAGTTTAGGTAGGCACTGGCAAGCAGCCTTTATTAAGCGGCCCGGGGCTGGACCTAGTTTCTTCATAAACGCCGCGGGCCACGATATTACATATCAACTCACATGTTACCAGGATGGTAAAAAATACCGATTCCGTTATCGCAGTTAATGCAATGATTAGAAAGTGTAAAATCGTTTGAAGGCAGATGCGGCCCGCGGGCCGAGGGTTACACATCATACCAGGTTTAGATAAATCAGACCAGTCCTACCGAGAGAACCTAAAATCCCACAGACCAATCTTCTGGCCTTAGAATTAAAATCACTAACGCAACACTTTTAAAGTATCTGATTAATTAATTACGTAGTACTTATGAAACTCAAATTATCCAAACAGTAAAGCTGACTCGACAGTGAAGCAAAGTCTGTCCAATACACACAGCAAAATCAATACACACATTTAACCTCGTAGTTATCAACTACGCTAATTGCATTCACTGGCTATTACTTGTATTCAAATATAATAATTGTTCTCTTTAGAAACTGTCTGTGCCAAAAACACCTCATGATGACGAATTTGTGTCCTTGACTTTCAGTGATGTGTTTCCCTGTGTGGGAAGAGGTCATGAGACAGGACGACCACATCCAAGGACCTCTACCGAAAATTTGCAGGACATAAACCCCATACATGAAGAACAAATGCAAGAATTTATGAAGGTGAAATTATGCAGTCCGTCTGTCGTAACTGACCGATGGGCCTTTCGCCAAAAACAAACAATTGGTGATTTATCTTCCCGAAGTCTTGGACAAAACCTCTCAAACACAGGGCAGAGGATTTAGGATCTGAAAGGCGTGATGCACGCAGATAACTCAAGATGCTGTGTGCTACATAGTGTTTAACAGATGAAGTTTCACCTTGTACTCCGATACATACGAACATATCGTATAACCAGACTAGGCTCAATAACCTCGTAGTTATTACTTGGATGTGACTTGTATATGGGGGCTGTTCATTCTTATCGTGTTATCTAATTACTTTAAAAAGAAAACAGGACCACGAAATCTTAAACTTCTATGCAACGTGTAAATGGGATGTGGTTTTTAAACAACGCTCCTCCTGTGAATAGCCGAAAAGATAAAACGAAAATCTGCCTTGGCATGGAACTGAGACCGAAAAGATAAAACGAAAATCTGCCTTAACATGGAACTGAGGCAAATGATATATTGGGTTTCGCTACGCCAGCAGTTCATAACAACACATCCTATTCAAAGTATGAATGAAGATTGTGTTTCCTACGTAGGGTGAGGTGTCTTGGTGCGGTTCATTAATAATCACAGCTAAGCATTATTCATCGCATGCTCTTCATATCAAATTCCTTGTTTACAAGTTTTACACACGTCGGATTAAATTCGTAACTTGGTTTATGAACGAAAGTTTTAACGCAATACAAATTTGCATTAGTGTAATAACGAAAGTTTTAACGCAATACAAATTTTTTCATTAGTGTAAAACATGAACAGAGGTGGACCAGCACTTTGCGTAATCAGTTATTAAGAGATACGCTTCAACGAAAACGGGCATCAGACCTCATATCGGAATGCAGAACACAAAAGATTATTCGGTAATGCGAATGATTTGAGAGGCGCTTCGTTCCACTTTGCGCGGTGTTCACGTAATCGGCACGAGATTTTACGTGCCATCTGTGCAAATGAGAACAGTGAAGAAATGTCCCATCACCTTATCCTCCTGGAGATTCATCTGTCCTCACAATCCGTCTGCATCCTCGGGTCACTGTTATTTCCGCATTCTGCACTCGCGTTATTTAAATAAATAAACACGGGAACATTTACACTTGAAGCAAATAAACACGGTCTCCTCTTCTGACGCGGACTGTATGCAGTTACTGTTACGCGAAAATAAAGCTTTTCTGTACGCCTGCTCCAAGACCCGTTGAAATAAACGGGAATCAGGACGTGTGACGTTATACAAATATTGGCTAACGTGCTATATTACTTTCTAATTAGATCACAATTCTTCTGAA